CCACACTAGCATGAACTAACCATACTAAGCCACACTAACCCTTAATAACAGAGACTAACCCACACTAGCATGTACTAACCCTCCTAACAAGCACTAACCCATACTAACAAGCACTAACCCATATTAACAGGTACTAACCCATACTAACAGGAACTGATCCACACTAACAGGAACTAACCCACACTAACCCATATTTACAGAGACTAAGCCACACTAACCCATATTAACAGAGACTAACCCACACTAGCATGTACTAACCATACTAAGCCACACTAACCCATACTAACAGAGACTAACCCACACTAGCATGTACTAACCATACTAAGCCACACTAACCCATACTAACAGAGACTAACCCACACTAGCATGTACTAACCATACTAAGCCACACTAACCCATACTAACAGAGACTAACCCACACTAGCATGTACTAACCATACTAAGCCACACTAACCCATACTAACAGAGACTAACCCACACTAGCATGTACTAACCATACTAAGCCACACTAACCCACACTAACAGAGACTAACCCACACTAGCATGTACTAACCATACTAAGCCACACTAACCCATACTAACAGAGACTAACCCACACTAGCATGTACTAACCATACTAAGCCACACTAACCCATACTAACAGAGACTAACCCACACTAGCATGTACTAACCATACTAAGCCACACTAACCCACACTAACAGAGACTAACCCACACTAGCATGTACTAACCATACTAAGCCACACTAACCCATACTAACAGAGACTAACCCACACTAGCATGTACTAACCATACTAAGCCACACTAACCCACACTAACAGAGACTAACCCACACTAGCATGTACTAACCATACTAACAAGCACTAACCCATACTAACAGGCACTAACTCACACTGACCCATATTAACAGGAACTACCTCACACTTACAGAAACTAACCCACATTAACATGCACTAACCCATACTAACACGCGGTGTGTGGACATTCTTAGTGAATAGTGCATGTCATCTGTATTTGTAGTACGACTGAACAGTTTATCCTGCTCCACGAACCGATTGGCTGCATGCATCACATCCTTGCTGACTGTTGATGAATATATGGTCATTGTTTGTTTGTCACTACATTTCCTGTTCATGTCTCTTTTCTGTGATCTTTGGAGGCCAGGAAGGCCATCTGTTAAAGGTGTTAAATTTCTGGCCCTTATAAAACTTCCTTATATAAGGGGATGGGGAGATTGATTCCCTATATAAAGTCATTGGGAGATCCATTCCTTATATAAAGCAATAAGGATATTAATGCCCTATATAAAGTCATTGGGAGATCCATTCCTTATATAAAGCGATAAGGAGATTAATGCCCTATATAAAGTCATTGGGAGATCCATTTCTTAAATAAAGCGATAGGGATATTAATTCCCCATATAAAGTCATTGGGAGGTCCATTCCTTATATAAAGCGATAAGGCGATTAATGCCCCATATAAAGTCAATGGGAGATCCATTCCTTATAAAAAGCGATAAGGAGATTAATGCCCTATATAAAGTCATTTGGAGATCCATTCCTTATATAAAGCAATAAGGATATTAATGCCCTATATAAAGACAATGGGAGATCCATTCCTTATATAAAGCGATAAGGAGATTAATGCCCTATATAAAGACAATGGGAGATCCATTCCTTATATAAAGCAATAAGGATATTAATGCCCTATATAAAGACAATGGGAGATCCATTCCTTATATAAAGCGATAAGGATATTAATGCCCTATATAAAGACAATGGGAGATCCATTCCTTATATAAAGCGATAAGGAGATTAATGCCCTATATAAAGACAATGGGAGATCCATTCCTTATATAAAGCGATAAGGAGATTAATGCCCTATATAAAGTCAATGGGAGATCCATTCCTTATAAAAAGCGATAAGGAGATTAATGCCCTATATAAAGTCATTTGGAGATCCATTCCTTATATAAAGCAATAAGGAGATTAATGCCCTATATAAAGACAATGGGAGATCCATTCCTTATATAAAGCGATAAGGAGATTAATGCCCCATATAAAGTCAATGGGAGATCCATTCCTTATATAAAGCGATAAGGAGATTAATGCCCTATATAAAGTCATTGGGAGATCCATTCCTTATATAAAGCAATAAGGATATTAATGCCCTATATAAAGACAATGGGAGATCCATTCCTTATATAAAGCGATAAGGAGATTAATGCCCTATATAAAGACAATGGGAGATCCATTCCTTATATAAAGCGATAAGGAGATTAATGCCCTATATAAAGTCATCGGGAGATCCATTCCTTATATAAAGCAATAAGGATATTAATGCCCTATATAAAGACAATGGGAGATCCATTCCTTATATAAAGCGATAAGGAGATTAATGCCCTATATAAAGACAATGGGAGATCCATTCCTTATATAAAGCGATAAGGAGATTAATGCCCTATATAAAGACAATGGGAGATCCATTCCTTATATAAAGCGATAAGGAGATTAATGCCCTATATAAAGTCATCGGGAGATCCATTCCTTATATAAAGCAATAAGGATATTAATGCCCTATATAAAGACAATGGGAGATCCATTCCTTATATAAAGCGATAAGGAGATTAATGCCCTATATAAAGACAATGGGAGATCCATTCCTTATATAAAGCGATAAGGAGATTAATGCCCTATATAAAGACAATGGGAGATCCATTCCTTATATAAAGCAATAAGGAGATTAATGCCCTATATAAAGACAATAGGAGATCCATTCCTTATATAAAGCGATAAGGAGATTAATGCCCTATATAAAGACAATGGGAGATCCATTCCTTATATAAAGCGATAAGGAGATTAATGCCCTATATAAAGTCAATGGGAGATCCATTCCTTATATAAAGCGATAAGGAAATTAATGCCCTTTATACAGTCAATGGGATATCCATTCCTTAAATAAAGCGATAAGGCTTTGGTCAATTTCGGAGTTTGTGTTTGTATACTAGTACATACAGACGTTCCTTAAAACATCGTTCGAAAAGCGGGGTTTCTGGATTAAGGAGGCCTGGACTAAACAGGTGTCACTGTGTATGTAGTCCGATCCTATATGCAGTCGTCTTCAGGAAGGATCGTATGCGGGGAATCGATAACGTGTTATGCAGATATTATAATCAGATCACACGTACAGGTAAGAATAATCAGATCACACGTACAGGTAAGAATAATCAGATCACACGTACAGGTAAGAATAATCAGATCACACGTACAGGTAAGAATAATCAGATCACACGTACAGGTAAGAATAATCAGAATTCAAAGTTGCGTTGCCACAATGACCTTGCCGGACAAAATAGTTCTTTCCACACGTTCGCGTTAACCGCAACAGCAATGTTGGAGCTATTCTCGTCGAGGTTCGTACAGGGACTTACTTTAAATATCCAGATAACCATATCAATGCTGAAATTCAAAGACAACAAAGAAATTTTCTCTCCAGCCAATACAAATCACAATTACGTTCACTAAATAGTTAAATGTCAAGTCTGTAGCAATGTGTCTAATTTCTTTTGATGTAAGGAAAATGTTCCTATTATAGATATGATAGGGTCACTTTCCGATTGCACGAGTGACAATGTGGATGTGTGTGTGCCTAGTGTCATGTACGGATGGAATGTGTCCCCAATACCCGTGTGTTTATGAACATAGTGATTAACCCTTGACACTGACAGCGTGCAGTCAGTCAGTTCTAGTATGTGAACACACATGAAACACGATCATGTTGGAATTGAAAAGTAAATAATTTCAAATTTCTCGTTCGGGGCTCTATATCTCTATATTTCCTATAGTCCCCCTCAGCTTGTATTTACAACGTCCAAGCGATTGTTTATATACCTTTCAGGACCTCACGAAATTATGAAGAGCCCTGTACCAAGTATAGTAAAAATCAGCTCGCGACTGAGCTTGTTTCATCACGCAAGGGCGACTCCCGCACTATAAATACAGACTGAAAAGAGTACAGTGTAAAAGTAGGGATGTGTTGGTAAAAGTCGGGGGTATATGCCTCTGTTCCATTATTTTTAAGGAATGGAGAGTTACTCCGACATTCCCCTCTACTTCACGCAACATACCCACGTGAAGTGCACTTCTTGGCCGCTAGGCTTCATCGTTAACTCTGGTCCTCTTTCTCAGACACGCACGCACGCACGCACGCACGCACGCACACACGCGCGCACACAAAGAAGGTGCTTCATGATGCCAATATCATGAATGAGCAGCGTTAGGCCACATTAAGTAATATTCCAGCAATATCACCAGAAATGGGATTCCACATTGCCCCCTGGCCGTGTGTCAGTTAATGTAGGCTTTCGTTGCTTTACATTTGAATCACTCATACAGCGTTTGAATCACTCATACAACATTTGAACCACCCATACAGCATTTGAATCACTCATACAGCGAGGAAAAAGTACAAAACATGAAATTTTATTCAAGAAAAAGGATTTGAATAACAATGCAGAGTTCCGTTATGTGTAACCAGGTAACCCAGGTAATTGCAACAACTGTCCATCTTCGTTCATCAAGGGTATTATTATCTCTAATTATGATAAATACCCTGTATGGACACATTCGTCACCATAATTCCTATCTCATACAATGTGTTTTGGACATCATGTCTAGCGTGCACGGCAATTGTTAACGTCGCGCCGTTCGAATGAAGCGGATGAGTCCATGGGCGATCATCGTCATACAATAGAGACATAATGCACTGGATAACCGGGGATATTCTTGCTATTCTGTGGAGCCACCTCGTAATAAGCGACGTTAGAAATTCGAAACGTACAAATCCCATAAAAGTGACCTCACACAGAAATACACCAGTGAAGAATAGGTCTTCAGCAACCCATGCTTGCCGTACCAGGCGACTGTGTTTGTCGTAAGATGCGACTAACGGGATCGGATGGTCAGGTTTGCTGACTTGGTTGATGCATGTCATCGTATCCCAAGTGCATAAATCGATGTATACGATGTCAATCACTAGATTGTCGGGCCCAGAGTCGATTATTTATAGACCGCCGTCATATAGCTGGAATATTGCTGAGTGCGGTGTCAAACAACAAACAAACAAATCATACAATAATACGGGACTTTGCGTTTCATTAAGTTATTAGCAAATTATGTACATAGTTTTCGAGAGAATTCGATTTGGGACTTTTACCAGAACATAACTGATAAAACTCTGGTTCTGTAGAGCCACAAATTAGCGTTACTTCGTCAGAAGGCCTTCTTTAAGTAACGCAAAACATACTGTTCGTCACAAACGGTCGGTGCTAGTGAGTGTGTTTGTAACAACACACGAGAACGGGAATCGGGCTGTGGTGCACGACGTAGTCGCTGACGCTGCCGAGGAATGTGCGTTGTAACACTCCGATGCCCCTTCTGCCTGTGATGATGAAGCTAGCGTGTTCCTCCTCCGCGACCTTGAGGATGACCTCTCCTGGGTTTCCGGGGACGCACTTCACTTTTCCACTGAGCTGAAAAGGATATCACGCTCGTTACATTCGGTCAACAATCGGCAACTATCGTCTCTTTCCGTATACATATACAAGTAAAACATGGAGCATCAATGATATCTCCGAGCATCGTATCATTCCAAGCAGAACACTTTCAACCTGTACTGTAGATGTAGTGGGAGTGAGGTGGATGTAACGCCGCTTTGAACAGTATTTCAGCTATATCACGGCGGTGCCAGGTGTTTCCCAAATGTTTGAAGCCCATGGGGGCGATCGGGTAGCCTAGTGGTTAAAGCGTTCGCTCGTTACGCCGAAGACCCGGGTTCGATTCCCGACATGGATACAATGTGTGAAGCCCATTTCTGGTGTCCCCCGCCGTGATATTGCTGGAATATTGCTAAAAGCGGCGTAAAGCCATACTCACCCACTCTGAAGCAGTCGAACACGGGTTACGTGCCAAGGAACATAACGGAGCGAACCTAAAAATCTGAAACGACCAGCAGTCCCTGAAACAGATCTGAGGCCCTGCTTTGCTTCGCGAAAACATTTTAGATATACTGAGTCAAATTAAAAACTTCACATTTTTAAAAGTAATCCCATATATGATATACAACGGACAAATGTATCAGAGAAGGTAATTTTTAATCATTAATGTCCAAAGAAGGATTTTAATTAACGGTTGTAACCATAATTTGTTCCAAGCACCTACGGTATTCGGTAATAACATCAACAGTTTAAATCATAAGCCCCAAGCACGAGAATCTGATGGCACACAAGTTCAGTAGCTTGTATGGCCACCATGTCCGTTGACAACTGCCACACAACGCCTCCGCATGGACCTTGTGATGCTTGCGAACACATGATTGGGAAGACGACGCCATTGTTGCTGCAAAATGGTGCCAAGATCTTGCAAATTCCGCGGTTGGTTCTGGAGAGTGCGCAGACTTCTGCCAAGAGCATCCCAGACGTGTTCGATGGGATTGAGGTCGGGAGACCTTGACGGCCAGTCCATGACGTTGACTCCCGCATTCCAAAGGAAATTCCTTGTCAAAATTGCTGTGGGTGGGTCTGGCATTGTCGTGTTGTAAGATCAAACCGGGTCCATGTGCTGCCATAAAAGGCAGAAGTTCTGGTGCCAGTACCTGGTCGCGGTAAGCAGCAGCGTTGAGGTTGCCACGGATGACAAGAAGCCTGGAACGTACATTGCCACAGAAAGCACCCCACACCATGACACTTCCGCCTCGAAATCTGTCAACTTCCTGTACACAACACTGGGCGTAACGTTCATGACGGCGCCTCCACACCCTCGCCCTACCATCAGCAAATCGAAGATTAAATCGGGATTCATCACTGAAGACGACTTGATTCCAATTCCTCTGAGTCCATCGTAAGTGTCGCTGTGCCCACAATTGACGTTTACGTCTGTGAGATTGAGTCAGAATCGGCCCGCAGTATGGCCGTCGTGCTTGAAGGTGAGCAGTTCTCAGACGGTTTCGAACAGTTTGCGCACTCAGTCTACCGGACGTTCCCGTCTGCAACATGCCGATGGCACGTTCACGTTGCACATTTTAAAGGCGTGGCATGACAAATGGCCGTAAAGACTTTTGTTTTCTTGTGTTTTTCTTTTTTTGTTAATGACTGCGAACAAGTATGGCTGAAAACACGTGCGGTATTATGGCCACGTGACCAGTTGCACGTGAAAAAACACTTTTGCCACTATAGTGCTGTGCACATGATTTTGATCGATTCACCTGCACAAAAACGGGTGTTATCTGAAGACAATACGTGGCCATTACTGTTTAAATACACAATAAGGGCCCACAATGATAACTGGTCAAAATGTTAAAATTTTAGGATTATGAAGTTTTTAATTTGGTTCAGTATATATTACTGATGTTATTGCATATTGTTAACTAACATTCAATGAAAAGACCGTGTTTGTTCATGAAAACGTATTTTATTTACCCAAACCACAACTCTTCCCAAACTCCCTTCACAGATAGAATGAATAATTTATCATTTCTGCCAGGTCAACGTTTATCATAATGTAAAACTCCCAATACTCAGCCCTACCATGACTGCTCTCAACCTCTCTGCAAGACTGTTGACCAGCTCCTTGATTCGTTTCGCCTCCTTCCCAAACATCTTCGTCATGTCCCCTTCCACCGTCGCCTCGCCCATGCCAAACGAAACTGAACAGGAATGTATCAACTTATGATTGCTCGGTGTTAGGGAAAAATACGAGCATGCTCACAACACGACTAGAGTATATATGACCCCCCTACCGCCCGAATCAACGACTACAGCTACGTTCAGTATATAATGATACTCACACGCACGCACGCACGCACGCACGCACGCACGCACACACATAAACACAAATATGACCAGCCAAGACTTCCCATTCACCCCAAAAAACAGCTGCAATATCCGTGATGCCATGCCATGTCACACGCACATGACCACGTGTGACCAACTTCCGGACAAGCCGATATCATGTAGGTTTTACGAAAACATGGTGTGTGTGTGTTGTTTAACGATGCATTCAGCAATATTCCAGCTATATGACGGCGGTCAGTACCAGACCTTCCAGTGATTGACATGGCAAGCAACGTTCCACGCCTTCCACGCCATCGACCAAGAAATCGATCCTAACCACCCGATCCATTTAGTTGCCTTTAACGACCAGCATAGGTTGCTACAGTGACCAGTTCTAACCCGGAATCACCACGGTTTACGGAAATATGCGAGTGGCGACCGGACCTATAGTACACACCATGGCCTCGGCCACACTACTGTCCGTGACGAGAAACACTCATCCCCAGCACCAACCCCACCCAAGTCCTAGCAAAGGTTCCAAGCCCCAGGGGGCACGAGGGCCCAGTCGTCTAAGGCGCCGCGATTCGCTGTGCAGAGTTGCGTCCCTTGGACACGCAAGAAACCTATGATTGTGGGTTCGAATCCCGGTTCGCCCCGATTACGTTTCTAGGTTTGTCAGCACCATACCCGTGTTCGTGGCTTTCACCGAAGTGGTAAACGTCGGAGACCTGCATCAATTCGGGCTTTCCTCCCACATTCAGCTGACACGCCGTGACAACTGGAATAATGTTAAAAGCGGCGTTAAACCCAACTCACTCACTCACTCACTCCAAGCCTCCTCCAGGCCCAGGAACCTCACCCACCTACACCCACTCACAACCGCCCGCATGCACACTCGCACACAGAGCGAGAGCCTTATTCTGCTCCAAATTCCCAGCTCTCCGACCACGCAACGATGTGGCTGAAATATTGCCGATGTGACGTAAAGCATTAACTCACTCACTCACTCACTCACTCACTCACTCACTCACTCACACCACGCAGAACTATAGTGCTCATATCCGGAATACCAACCTGCTTCAAACATTGCGTTGTATTCAGGACAGTGGACAAATATCACGTGGTCATTCGGTCTGCGTATCTGCTCCAAATACCCTGGAATGAAACACCCCGGCACCAGTCACGTTGTGGTCGAAGCATGCATTCGTGTTTGTTTGTGTGTTTGTTGCTTAACGCCGCACTCAGCAATATACCAGCTATATTGCAGCGGTCCGTATATAATCCGAGTCTTGAACAGACAATCCAGTGAGAAAGGATCTACGCAAATGGGTTACGATGACATGCATGCATCAAAGTCAGCGAGCCAGTCGATCCCGTTCGTCGCCTCTTAAGACAAGTATGGGTTGCCGAAGACCTATTCTAATCCGGATCTTCACGGCACGGACAAGATGCAGCACGCTCACTTAGGACGGTCACAAATGACATACCAAGGAGTTAGTGGGTGGTTGTATTACGTCGTAGACAGCATGATGCAATCTGTGTCACAACGGCTTGCAACTGATCAGTTCTGGGTCAGGCAAACAAACAGTGTCAGTACGATCAACGGTCCACGGCGATGGCGCGTGATGACACACACTCAGCCAGGTTACTGTTGCAACCACACGGACACTGGGTATGTTTTCCAGCACTGACCCTCCACGAGACCGATCGTATCACAACACATGCATTTTGATTATAAGCCCCCTTCACACATACCACTTTTGTTGAAAGGATAGCGAGTTGGTGCCTTCAAGTTTAGCGTATTTGTATATCGAACTATAATATATTTGCTTATCGAACCTGCTGAATGCAATCATATATTGATAACCAAATACAATTACACTTTAAAACTAAATATCTCAAGAGGATTTTGGTTTCGTTTGTTGCTTTACGCCACACTAAGCAATATTCCAGCTGTATGACCAGACAATCCAGTGATTGATGTCATGATCATCGATCCACGCAATTTTAGATCGATGACATGCATCACCCAAGTCGGCGCGCCTGACCACCCGATTCCGTTAGTCGCCTCTTACGACAAGCATGGTCGCCTTTTGTGGCAATCATGGGTTGCTGAAGACCTATACTACCCCGGATCTTCACGAGTCCTCTCGAGAGGAATGCGAATGAAAGTAAGTCAGGGTTATACTTACATTCAAAGGCAAAATCAGCACAATCACTTCCATCCATGGAAATCACGACATTCCGTATGTCAGCCATGGCTTCAAAACCGCTTCCGGTGCCGTGTGGCAAGCTGATGTCTCAGGTTCCGCAAGATTCCACAAACCCGTTACTTGCGAACGAGAGTTCTCAGGCGGCAGATGGAGTGAGCAGTTTCAAAATAACGTATATATAGGCTCTGGAGACCTAGGACTCTCAACAGAGGTCAAGGAATCTGATTGTAGCTAGGATGGGAAGACAACGCTGGTATCTGTAAGGAACATTCCGGGTAGACGGTCATGGACAACGTAAACATCGCCCACTTACAAGCAGCCATATTGGTGTCCTTGTCTTACCTCAGCGTACAAACACAGAACAAGAAAAAAACCAAGTTTTGGCATTATTATGAAAATTTAGTTGGACACGACTTGGTGAATCGTTTACAGGACATTAAAAGGTGCTCGGTATTTCTATAAAATATGGTCATTGTGACTATCAAAGTTCATACATCTACCATGGCCCATCCATTTCCATATGTTTTGACATTTTGATAATTAATCTAATCGGACAAATGCTAGCCGACGACATTATGAATCACTGTAAATTACTGTCATGCAGATGAATCATGCGGCAACCTCCGTCTTTATATAGTTTTGGATTATTTTATATCGACGTTTGCATGGAAGCAATTCTGACAAATCTCACAGCTGGGTGGGCCGTAGGGAAGACACTCTAAAGACGTCTTGTTCTGTGTTTTCAACAGACGAGCATCGTGTAGAACTATCAGTGAAAAGCGTATCGATGACCTTCGCCTCGTTGATAAATCAAAAGCTAATTCAAACGCCAAGAATAAAACGGAGACGAGGCATTCTCCTATTTTGTCAAGTTCATCCCTTCTGTCGCTTCTGACAACGCGCCATGCCATAAGCTCGCTTGGACTTTAGTTCCATGTGAGCTAAAACATATGTACTCTAAATTACTGAACTGTTCAGAAGAGGTTCATGTATGTAATCTACGGTGCATTTCCTTCTAGAGGAGATATTCTGGTAGAGCGGTCAGTTGCAAACGTCATTAGGACCTAAATACACGCAGATAAAAACATAACTGCTAAATTCTATTTAAAAAAATAGCTTGCAAACACGGTACTTCGGCCACTGCATCATCTACATGTACTTTCAAAACTCTCAAGACAATTCTCTTTGACATAAACCCTAGAACAATTAGGAATTGACGTCAAAAGTTTTGGAGTTTATACCTCCATAAACGCAAAAACACATTGAAGTCAATTCTAAGAAAGAAATGCGTCTACAATACTATCTTTACAGACTATTTATTTACTCACTAACACAAAAACTGTAGACAGTACGAAATAGGTGACATCGTTCACCGCAATAATGCGACACAAACCTCGCCCATTCTATTATCAGCCAATCAGGAAACACTTGTCCGTTAGTGGGCGTCACCTAATCTTTTTCAGTTTAAGGTTCCACAACGAAAAGATATTGCTTAGTTAGCCAATCAAATACCAAGGAATCACATGCAATATATTTATTGATTTATTGATTGAAAAACACGGGACCATGGTGCAGATGTAAACTGTGTGTAGGAAATATATAAAAGGCAGTATGCAAAAGTTAAGGATTATTCGTTGACATTTGTTCCTTAAGGGTATCTATGAAAGAACATGCAACAAATTAAGAACATTGTATCATTGGCATTGCAGCATAACCATTTACAATTTCTTCCTGTTTCATTAAATATCCCTAATACACATAAACCATGATAGCCACTTCGAAATATGTCCTTGGATGATTTTATTTTCTCTTGTTGTATGATAGATATTTTATATACCAAATGTGACCCTCCCATAGATGTGTGATGGTGTTCTGTCCGTCAAGGCGGCATCTTCAGCATCAATCTACGCAATTCGAATACGATGACATGCATCAACCAAGTCAGCGAGTCTGACCACCCGATTCCGTTAGCCGCCTCTGATGTCAAGCATAGTCGCCTCTTACGACAAGCATGGGTTGCTGAGGACAAATTCTAACCCGGATGTTCACGGGTCTCTTCTTGTAACGGTACATATAGGTGGCCGGACAATAGTTGAGTTTTCCAAAGATTTTAAGATACATCCAGTTTGAGCATATCGTGTGATGTTTTCGACCCGCCATAACGGTGTCAGAAATAGCTTCGTCACGAAATATTGCTTTAAAAAATAAAATTAACTTAACACCTTCAACATCAGTAGAAGTGTATGTGTGCAACTATATTTACCATATAAGGAACCTACCATTGAATCACTTTATCTGTATTAATAATATTATTTTTTGTATTTATTTATTTATTAGTTTTAGGAGATAGGGGTGGAGAGCTGGGATTATTGTTTACATACAATCTATGAATGGAGTGTCAAACAATGTTTATAACCCACAACTCATTATTTTCCACAAAGTCCAGCATGTCCGGTTACCTTTTTTTCTTTGGTAACCAATAATCTTTCACTCATCTATTCATCATTCTTTTGCTGTTTTCTCAAAATGTTTAGACATTTTGAGAATTAGACAAATGGAAATAATGTTTTAGATTTATATAACGGTTTTAAATACGCAAGTTAATTGAAAGTAATTGGGTTTTGAATATATATTTTTTTAAATTTTTTATTTTTTTATTTTTATTTTTATTTTATTTTTATTTATTTATTTATTTATTTTATTTTATTTATTTATTTTTTTGGGGGGGGTATTTTACGCAAATACGCAGCCTATCTGTAGCTCTGTGTTCAACATTACCCCAAAAATCACAACAGGGCAAGAAATTACGTAGAAAACGTTTCTTCGTCGACAGCCTTTATATTGCAAATCTCAAACCCAAAAAATAAAGAACTTTCATTTTTTACGCGTAAATAGTAGAACTTCTCTAATAGGGGTCATCTAGGTTTTAAAAGAAGTCTCACCAGCTTGAAGGGATGAGATGAATGCACGTCACGTCTGCTTACATTCATTGAGTCTGGAAATAACGCGCACCACAAGCTCGTGGAACGGAAGTGAGCCCTGATTGGTTTAACTCGTAGCCTTGACGTCACGTGACGTGCTGGCGAACACCTGCTTGACATATACAACGCCTCAAACCTGATTTCTACAGCCACGAAACTATCTTTAAAGAAAGACTAGTCGTCTTCAGGGCTCTCGCCGGGCTGGTCTAAACTGTAGGTGATGTTATTGGCGGGTTATAATCCCATTTTGCCTGCCCTTTGCTGGACACCATGTACGGTATATGGTCTCTCACCTTGTAGTGTGATGATCCCAACACTGTCCAAAACTCGTCCCAAAGGTCACTAAAATGGACAGGTCTAGATACAGTAAATTTGAACACATTGAGAAGTATTGATAACTCGGCCATCTGTGATCAGCAATAGAAGAAAATAAGATCAACTCGTTTTCTTAATGAGATATGAGGGAACATTTTCAAGTCATCATATTTATAAAAAAAACTGACAGAAACATCGATCGGAGCAATAAACCCACAAGAATTTAAGATATACTACTACATGTATTTAACAAACCGGAATTAACAAGACACAGAAAAGGAGTTGTACATAATCAATTATAAAATTTAGTATGTGATGTTCCATATAATATCTTTGAAGATCAATCATATTTCCTCATAAAAAACCCTTGGACTACCGCTTAGCCTCTAAAAATATATAATTGTGATACAAACAAACGACTCCCTTTAAAATACAAAGGAGCCTCGGGATATGGGAGATTAAGAACCTGAGGAGAATCTAGACTTGTTTCAATTAGGGCTATATCATCACATCAAGGGCTGGGCAGAAGGGAAAACAATATGGTTATTGGACTGTGAGACTCACTATAAAAAACTAAATACAAAATATCAGAGATAAAAGGACGCAGAAAAAACTGATTGTTTTTAGATAACCTCCCTAATCCCCCCTAATGTTCTGGGATCGATCCCGCATGACACATCTTAACATCCCTGGTAGGTGCAGGCGAAGTGAGGAGGTCCCCAACTGGCTAGTGCCACGTGCAAACTAATATTGCGTCTGTGTACTGTGAACAAGATAACTTGAACCCAGAGGATCAACACGGCGCAAAGGAATGGTGTAGCATACCTACCTACAGATGCAAGTGTGGGCTGGGACGGGTAACTCGGGTACCCGGGTCGGGTGGGTCTCGGGTACCCACAGGACTACCCGGACCTGTGGTTAGTCACGTGATATATTGTTTAATGACAAAAAGTATCTAGAACTCTATGGTTACTACAAGTCACATTTTTTTCAAATGTTCGCATTCCTTCTGATTTTACATATCTTTGAATAAAGATATAACTTGAGTCAACTTCAGTGTATGCATGACCAGATTGTTTAATACATGTATCTAAATACGTTTTGCCAGTGATATGGTAAAAAAATGCCCTATCGGACATTTTGTACCTATCTCTTGAGAACCTACAATGGGTACCCGGGTAGGGTCGGAATACGGGGGTGGGTACCCGGGTAGTAAATTCGGACTCGTCCCACCCCTAGCAAGTACCTATACTGCCATAAGAACACACGTGTAACCCAGAAGGAAAAACAAATTGTACTTTGCACGTGGTACCTTCAGAATCTGTCCTGAGTGAGAATATGACACATTTCAGGTTAAATATTTATGTAATATAAAAGTAGAAACCAAATACATTATGAAAACAAACTTAGTAATATGTTTTTACAACAATGACTTCCTGAAACATTTGTTATTTTTTTCAAGGAACATGGGGTATTAAGTTGACACAGCTATAGTGGTATACATGATACTGTTGCCATTGATATGCCTACAGTGGCAAAGTTAAAGTGTGTGTGTGTGCGGGGGGGGGGGGGGCTTGATTATTCACACAATCCAAGAGTGCTTGTATCTCGCTGCACGGAATACTGGGTCAACGTTTCCGGCATAGCTGTCGCGATATGCTGTAGGCCTGTCCCCGACCCTCCCGACAGGCAGAACCCACTACACGGGAAACAAACTTGTGTAGTGTGATAATTCACAGGTAAGAATGTTTAGAATTATTAATGTATTTCGTATGTTCGAATATCATCATACATGTGTGAGACAAAGATAAAGGTTCTCTTAACACTTCGTTTACATCTTTCCAACTATTGCCCTCCCTGTGTTACTTTCTCA